ACAGGAAAAGGGGCCAAGCCTGTGGCCGGACAACTGTTTGCTAAAGAAATTAGGCATGAGATTCATGGCTCCTTCAGCCACCTCAGTGGAAATTAGGAATAGACATGGAGTTGTCCAGAAAGGATCTGTCGAGAACCCTCATGTTTAGTGGTGATAGCCCCAGTAGCTACATAGGAGACCTGTCAGGGCCTTGAGAATTGTATATCAGCAGAAACAATGCCAACTTGTTCTGCAGAGGAGAGTAATAAGATGGAATGAAGGAATAATGGACCTTAGGGCAGAGCTAGAGATGCAGTGAGCAGAGCAGGTGGATCGCTGCCCTGGAGGCCCATAGGACGGATGGAGACGCAGTGACCAGAACGGGTGGATCGCTGCCCTGGAGGCCCACGGGACGGATGGAGACGCAGTGACCAGAGTGGATGGATCGCTGCCCTGGAGGCCCACAGGACGGATGGAGATGCAGTGACCAGAGTGGATGGATCGCTGCCCTGGAGGCCCACAGGACAGAGCGTGGTTCCACAGACAAGGATTCTCAGGCTGTAGAGTCTAAGGGAGGAACATTCCCTGCTGGGTTGCAAACTTCCCATAAACTGATGACCTCTCCATTTCTTTTCTTGAATATATTCCTTTTGAAATGGGAATATTTATCCTATTCCTGTCACTGTCTTGTATTTTACAAGGAGACAACTTGTTTCTTCGGTTCACGGGTCCACAGGTGGAGAGGAATTTTTCCCAGGAGGGACATATGTGGAGTGTCACCCGTACTGGATTTACATCATATTTAGGTGAGACTTTTGGATTTACAATCAATGCCAGAATGGGTAAGATTTGGGGGGATGTTTGGATGGGGTGAGTTTATTTTGCATATGGGACAGACATAAATTTGGGGGAGACAGTGGATTGTACTGGGCTGAAAAATGTTGCCTCCCCCAGAATGTATGTCTTTTCTGGAATGTCAGCATATGAATTTTTTTGGAAATAGTGTCTTTGCAAATGCAATTAAACACATTAAGATGAGGTCATTCTGGAGTAGAGTTGGGACTAATTTTGGTATGACCAATGTTCCTATAAGACGAGGAGAAGAGGCACAGACAGACGGGAGATGGCTGCCTGAGGGTGGAGGCGGGGCTGCCTGAGGGTGGAGGCAGGGACCGGGGCAATGTGAGCACAGCCAAGAGTAAAAGGATTGCCAGGAACCCCGGGAGCTGGAGGAGGCAAGGAAAGATGCTTCCTGGGATCCACCCCCATGATCCAAACACCTCCCACCAGGCCTCAGGTCCAACACTGGAGATCACATTTCAGCACAAGTTTTGAGGGCACAGACACCCAAACCATATCGTTTTTCCCCGGCCCCCCAGATCTCATGTCCTCACATTGCAAAGTGCACTCGTTCCCTGCCAACAGCCCCACAAAGTCTGAACTCACTCCAGCCTCAAGTGCAAAGTCCTAAGTCTCATTCAAGACTCATCTCCTTCTACCTATGAACCTGTAAAATCGAAACGAGTTATTTAGTCCCGAGGTACCATGGTGGTTTAGGCATTGAGTAACATTTCCGTTCCCAAAGGGAGAAATTGGCCCAAAGAAAGGGGCTACAGGGCTCATGAATTCTGAAAGCCAGCAGGGAAGGTATTAAACCTCCAAGGCCCAAAACACTCTCTTATGACTCCATGTCACGCATCCAGGGCCCAGTGCTGCAAGGGGTGGGCTCCCAGATCCTTGGGCAGCTCCATCCCTGTGGGTTTGCAGGGCGCAGCACCCCAGCTGCTCTCATGGATGGGAGCTGACTACCTGCAGCTTTTCGAGGCGCTGGGTGCAAGCTCCTGGTGTATCTACCATTCTGGGGTCTGGAGGACAGTGGCTCCCTTCTTAGTTCCGCTAGGTAGTTCCCCAGTGGAGACTCTGTTTGGGGGCTCCAATCCCAAATTTCCCCTCAGCGCTGCCCTGGTAGAGTCTCTCTGTGAAGGCTTTACCCCTGCAGCAGGCTTCCACCTGGGCACCCAGGCTTTCCCACCCATCCTCTGACATCCAGCTAGAGGCTGCCAAGCCTCCTTCTCACTTGCATTCTGTGTGCCTTAAGGCTTAGCACCAGGTGAAAGCTGCCACAGCTTATGACTTGCACCTTCCAGAGTGGTGGCCTGAGCTGTGTCTCAGGCCCTTTGAGCTGAGGCTGGAGCCGAAGCAGGGGCTTTGCAGGGAGCAGCCTCCTGAGGTGATACAGGGCATTGGTGCCCTGGGCATGGTCCATGACATCATTTTTCCCTCTTAGGCCTCTGGCTCTGTGATGGAAAGAGGCTCCCCCAGGATGTCTGAAGTGGCTTCAAGGCCTTTTCCCCATTTTCTTGGATATTAGCACTGGCTCCCTTTTAGTCAGGCTAGTCTCTCTAGAAAGTGGTTGCTCCACAAGCCACTTGAATTCCTCTTCTGAAAACACTTTTTCCTCTTCTGCCACATTACTAGGCTGCAAATTTTCCAACTTTTTATGCTCTGCTTTCCTTTTAAATATAAATTCCAACTTTAAGTCATTATTTGTTCCCACGTCTGACCATAGGTTATTAGAAGCAGCCAGGTCACATCCTGAACACTTTGCTGCTTGGAAATTTCTTCTACTAGATACCCCAGGTCATCACTCTTAAGTTCAACCTTCCATGGAGCCCTCAGGCACGGACACAGTGCAGCCAAGTTCTCTGCTAAGGCACAGAAAGGGTGACCTTTGCTCCAGTTCCTAGTAACTCCCTCATCTCCATCTGAGACCTGGCAGCCTGGTCCTCACTGTCCATTCCTCTATCAGCATTTTGATCACAACCATTTAACCAGTCTCCAGGAAGTTCCAAACATTCCCTCATCTTCCTGTCTCCTTCTGAGCCTTCCACACTCTCGAGCCTCTGCCTGTTACCCAGTCCCAAAGCTGCTTTCACATTGTCAGGCATCTTTTTAGCAATGCCTCACTCCTCAGCACCCATTTTCTGTGTTAGGCCCTTCTCACGCTGCTTTATAGAAATGACTGAGACTGGATCTTTTATAAAGAAAAGACATTTAATTGGCTCATGATTCTACAGACTGTACAATAGGTGTGGTACTGGCATCTGCTCCTGGGGAGGGCCTCAGGGAGCTTCCAATCATGGCGCAGGCAAAGGGGAAGTAAGGATGTCACATGGTGAGAGTGGGAACAAGAGAGAGAAGGGGCAGGTGCCAGACTTTTTAACAAATGGGTCTGGCATGAACTCAGAGGTGGAATTCAGGCATGACCCGAAGGGTGGCCCAAGCCGTTCACGAGGGATCCGCCCCCGTGCCCAAGTGCTCCCACCAGGCCCCACCTCCAACATTGGGGATCACATTTCAACCTGAGATTTGGAGGAGACACATCCAAACCGTATTGGGAGGGACTGTTGATGTGGAGATCAGGCTCCTCTGCAGCAGGTGAAGGTGTTGGGGGCAAGCAGCGAGCAGGGAGGAGAGCAGGGGTGCGGGGGGCTTGGCTTCAGATGCAGGAAGGTGGTCTTTCACAAGAGTGATGAGAATGATTTTGATTCTGCCTAGACAGGAGAGAACTGGGAGTGGAGAGAGGCCGGCCTCATCCCAGTTTAGGGAAGAATCTCGGAGGTCACAGCACACTGGGGTCTGCTCTCCGGGCGTGGAGACAGCGTGTCCTGGAGGACCTGGCACGGGGTTGCTTCTGAGGCTGCCTCGGGCGATCGTTACAAAAGAGCTCTGTCCGTTTGCTTTGGTCTTGTTCTCTGTGAATGTCGCTGTTTCTAGCGCTTCACTTAAACCTGCTGAGAAAGGTGCCGCCCTTTCTGATGGGCGCCTGGACCACGAGTGGATCCCTGCAGAGATGCTCATGGCGTGCCTGCCTCACCATCGGCTGATTTACATCGCAGATGATGCTATTTTAATCCTGAAACCTGGCTGCTTCTGGCAGGGGTCTCTCAGTTTGAGCCTCTCATTCACGTTTGTTACGGCTTCGTCGGGGATTTCCGGCGCCATTCCTGGGGGCCTGGCCTGCAGGTGCCCTTTCCCGCTGTCCGCCCTGGCATGCGATGTTCCGCAGCTCACAACAGGGTCCCAGGCACGCCGCCTCCTCTGCTCGGAGAGGTTGTAGCCTAGTTATTTTCTTCAACGAGTTCAGAAAATTCAGATATAAAATAGTATTCTCCTGTGTTTAATTTGTGTGTGGCTTTTTTGGAAAATGCCTGCATATCCTTCATAAGAATGAGCTTGTTTAAATTGCCTGTTTATGTACATTTTACACAACTCTTACGCCTGAGTTTCTGATTGCCGCAGCAGCCGAGCACCGCGAGCGCAGGGGCTTCACACGCACATTTAGTATCTTACAGTTCTGGAGGCCGGAAGCCCCACGGCTGTCACTGGACCAACATTAAGGTATCCGCAGGGGCAGTCCTTTCTGGAGGCCCCGGGGAGAACTCATTTTCTTACCTTTTTGGTTTTTCATGGCCCCCTTCTCCATCTTCTAGGCCAGCGTGCCGCCTTCTCCCTGAATGCGGGTGCCTGTCCCTCTCGCTGTGAATTCAGGAAGATCCTGTGACCGTAGGGCCCTGGTGCTGACGCGGGTCCCACTGGGCTAACCCAGGGCAACTCCTCACTTCACGGCTCATTACTTGATCCCATCTGCCAAGTGCTCTTTCTTGTGTCAAGCAGCAGTTCCACAGGTCCTGGGGTTGGGATGCAGACGTTTCTGGGGGTCATTAGTCCACTGACCCTCCAGATAATGCATTTCTTCTCAGCCTGTGATTTTGAATCGGTTTTTAATTGGACGTGTTTTCATTTTTCTTTTTCTTTCTTAAAGGAGTGGTCAGGTGATTTTCCAAGCACACTTGCCTGCGTTCCGTGTTGCGTTCCATGTTGTGTTCCATGTTGTGTTCCGTGTTGTGTTCCGTGTTGTGTTCCGTGTTGCGTTCCATGTTGTGTTCTGTGGACACATTTCCTAGATCCAACGTCAGGTTGGCTGTGTTGAGTTTACGCAGCTCTGTTCTCTGCACCAGCTGAACCGGTCCTGACTCACCTGCTTGAGTGCTCTGCTCTTCGCTGAAGCTGGAGACCATGGTGGTGCATGATGACCAGGGATGCGAGACCACCAGGGCACTCGAGGGGCCCCAAGTCCTCCATGCTGTGGGCTGACTTCTCAGGACTCCTCACGGCTGCAGGATCAAACGACAACACATGTCATAAACAGAGAGTGACCTTTTACTCACGTCGGACTTTGCACAGGCCAAAACCCTACAGCAAATCCTTGAGGAGACAACAAATTTTCCAGCTAATTTATCCTTGTGATCAGATATTTTTGTTTTATTTTGCATTTTCATTTTTAAAACATTCCCTTGATTGGTAGATCTGTCTCTTACACAAGCCTCACCTGTGGATACTCTGACCCCAAACACTAGTCACCCGTTCGCCTCTATCTATATATAGATATATGGATATATAGAGATATATATAGATATATATAGATACATAAGATACATAAGATACGTATCTATATAAAGAGAGGAGAAGAGAGTACAAACAAAATCACATGTCTTGTGTTCCTTTAGAGCCTTGAAAATGAACAAACTTGTTGAGAACACATCTAAACTATTAAGTGGCACCAGCCACGCACGCTACAAGCTGACTCAAACTGACTCAAAATATCCTAGATGTTTCCAAAACAAACCCATGCAACAAGGCAACATGAAACTAAAACCTTTTATCCACTGGGGTTAAATGAAATTCTCTGCCCAGAATCTCCAGATACCCAGTTCCACTGTTTAGCAGGGGGAGAAGCTGGCAGGGACCACGGGCACTTCCCCATACGGCGAGCAGCTTCTCTCCCTCATTCCGGGAAGATAACGGGTGAAGGATAGAACCAAGATGGTCCCAATCAGGACCTCAGGGAGAAAGGATCTACACACAGGAGCTCAGAAATGGCTTTAAGGCTGTCTACATGAGGATTGCAGAGCATTCCGGCGGAAGCCGCACCAGGGAGAGGGGCGAGGGCCTCAGAGAAGGCAGCTTGCCCAGGTTCCGTGAGACGTGGGCACTGAACCCAGAGGCTGAGGCCTCGCCCTCACTGTCATCCCCCAACCCCCAGCATCTTCACCAGCACCGCACAGTGTCGTCACCAGCAAGGCAGCCCCTGGCACGAGGCTCTCCTAAGCTCTCATTGCTAACACAGGAGCAAGCTGAGCTCTGAGGGTGTTGTGGACCCAGCCGAGCCCTCTGCAGTAAGTCCCTGAACCCTGCCACCATCCTGGGGCCCCCGAGCCCTCCGCAGTAAGTCCCTGAACCCTGCCACCATCCTGGGGTCCCCGCTGATTCACAAGTGGAGGCAGGCGGAGGACACGGGGGATGGCAGGTTTTTCTCATGGTCCCAAGCAATGGACTCAGAAGTAGGAGAAATTCCAGGGAGGTGCAGAAGACGCCTTAAGCCAAACTGATGAACTGGGGGTTTCTCGTGGTGGCCACAGGACGTACTTCCTTGGTGGTGACCGGGCAATGCCCGGGGCTGCTTAGTGGGGACGCTGGAACGTCCCTGGTGATAACAACACGGGCACGGCGTCTCCGCTCCAAGACAGACACGGTTTGTGCGTTCCGGTATCAAGGGTTTTAATTCTCAGAGAAACAGTGCGGGTCGTCAGATGCCAGTGTCCTCATTTTAAAGGGAGGGAAATGACTTGAGTGAAATAGTTTGTCCACAGGCAAGAGCAGCGACTGAGAAGTGAGGTTCAGACGCGGACAACAGCAGCGACTGAGAAAAGTGAGGTTCAGCCTCGGGCATTGTGGCCCCAGCCCGGCTGCTAAACCCTGCACTGCAGCTCAGGCTCCCCCAGCGCGGGCAGCAATGGGCTCGGGCCCTTCCCACGGGGCCTGTGTGCACCTGAGTGTTCCCATCCCACCGCCAGGGCTCAGGCTTGCCTGAACGTTGCACTGCAAGCCCCCGGGGGTCCCTGTAGAGAGGACCCTCCAGGCACCCTCGGGTCACGCTGTTTGAATAGCTCCTTGGCCCTGTGAGTGATTTTTATCTTCCAATTTTAACTAAACCTCAGAAACTGGAGGAGAAAATAATCATTGATACTATTTTAATTTTCACACTGAGGATTAGTTTTCAGAGTTTCACAGTTTTTTGTTTTCTTTATGTCACAAAGTGATTTTTCTCATTTCTAATGATCACATTAAAACAGGTGTGATGGAATGTGTCCTCCCAAAATCTCTGTGTTGAAGCCCTGACCCCAAATGTGATTGTATTTGAAGGCGGGAGCTTTGGGAGGTGATGAGGGTTAGATGGGGTCGTGAGTGCGGGAGCCCCGTGACGGAATCAGTGTCCTTGTGAGAACAGACCCCTGAGTGAGTTCGCATGCTCCCTCCCCCTCCCTCCCTCTCCTTCTCTCCTCTCCCTCTGCCCTGTGAGGGCGCGGTGAGCAGGTGGCCATCTGCAAGCCGGGAAGAGGGGCTCTTCAGAGCCGTCCACGACCACATCACACCAGCCCGGTGACCTTGGACTCCTGGGCTCCAGACGGTGAGAAATAAACATCTGTTATCTACGCCGCCCGGTCCACGGTATTTTATTACGGCACCCTGAGCAGACAAGGATAAAAGTCAGTGTTTTCTAAAAATGACAATGCAGAAAATAAGGGAACCACTCATAAATAGTACCCAATTTTAAGTGAAGTGGCTTCAGCTTTGTCTCAATTTCTCTAAGTACTCGCAGTTTAAATATCTCAGTGGAAAGCTTCATTTATAAAGAGTATTGGGATCCTGAAACCCTCATAAATCTTCATGAAATTGAGGCTTCTTTATAAACAGGTCATTAGCAAAAGACTCTGCCGTCTCCCTCCCTCTGTGTCTCTCCCCCCCCCGTGTCTCTCCCTCCCCCTCCCTCTGTGTCTCTCCCCCCCCCGTGTCTCTCCCTCTCCCTCCCTCTGTGTCTATTTGTATCTTAGTGGGAAATACATAAATTTCCACCAATACACCAAGGTATATGGTCAGTAACTTTTACTTCCGGTGAAGAATTACAAAATGCCCCAGCAGACCAAAGCCCTTATTTTGTCTGAATTAATCCCCTTGGCATGTTCCATCTGAGGAGGCTTCTGCCGTGAGAACTCTGCCCTGCGGGAGCAGTGGGCGGGGTGGAGGGGACACAGTCCCACCTTGCTCCTTGTTTTCAAACTTGTCCTGGCCGTTCTTGCATCTTTTCCCTTCTATGCAAGTTTCGAACGTCACAATTCCAAAATAAGCAAACACCAACACACAAGCAATACCCACACTTTATGCGTTTGGAGTCTCCGTGAATTTGGGGAGAATGAAAGCTTCATGTAAGGAGTTGTCCTATCCGTGAAAATAGTGTATCTCTCCACAGGTTACAGGCATCCAAATTATACACCTGGGGACTATGCAGAGGGAGGGGTTGCAGCTCCACTGGACACACCTGAGACCGTGACCCGAAACTCTCACCTCCCCAGTCTGACCAGCAGGATATGTGGGTGCTTTGGTGCCGTAGAAACCGTCAGCTCCAACACCACACCCCACACCTCTGGCCTGGACCGTGCCCACTCCAGCCTGAGGTTGCGTGGAGGAACTGTTGGGGCTCTCATTGTCTACACTTGCAGAGGCCTGGCACTGGCTTTTCACTGTCTACACTTGCAGAGGCCTGGCACTGTCTTTTCTTGGGTGGACAACAAGGGGCCTGAGGACTGTCCTGATCATGCTGCTGGTTCCAGGGTGCAGACAGGAGTGGAAACTCATCATACTGTGCATTTTGAGTAAACGCGGTTTAGTATAGTCAGTTGCACCTCAGTGAGGCTGTGGACAGAGAACCGGATATTTTATAAAACAGCACAAAAGGCCCATCTGCATCCCTCCTGCATTCCGCCCTCTCCAAGAAGACCCTGCCCTCCTCCCATCCAGGCCTGGAGTCCGCTCTTCACCCCTTGCCTCTGGACTGGCCAGTGGCTCACTTTGTCAGATCAAATGTGACTTTGTAACCGGCATCAGACCCCCTAAGAGGCCTGGCGAGTTTTCAAGGCCCCTGTTAGAAGCCTGCCCATCCTGGAGGGGAGCACGCCCACGGCAGCCTGCAGGATGCGAGCTGAGGCTCAGCCACTGGCCCTCTAGTCCACGGCCGGGCAGACACGGGCTCAAGGCCATTCTGGACCTGGCCAGCAAGCCCAGCCTCCTGCCAGCTCAGACCCATGAGCAGACCCTCGGCTGGATACGCAGAACCCTGCACACTCATCAGCCATCAGAAGCTAATGTTTAAGGTGTTGAGATGCAAGTGGTTATCTATGGAATGACGTCTACACTCCCCTGGACTTACACAGCTTGATTGCAGAAAAACAAGCAGCTTGTGCCCCAGACAAGATGAGCCTGGGGTCCTGGGCGTCTGCCTGGAGCTGCTCTGCCTGCCCGTGGGTTGTGAGATGCGGCCTGAGCCTGCAAGCTCCTGCTCAGACCTGTCTGCTGGGTATGGTTTGTGACTTTCTTCCAGTTTGGAAAATTCTTGGTCATTTTTGCTTCCAATATTCCCTCTGCCCCATTCTCTCATCAGACCCTTTCATCATTAGACCTTCCGACTGCAGTTTAGGCATCTCTAACATGCCTCTACGCTGGCATCTTCTCTTCTCTACCTTCTTTTTTGTGGTGGGGCAGGGGGGAGCAGATTATTTATTTTGAGTTTTCCTCCAGTCCTTTGTGACCAAACTCCTGTCAAGCCTGTGGATTGAATTCTGAACTTCAGTTATTGCATCTCTGAGTTTTATAATCTTCATCTGATCCCTTTTTGAAATTTCCAGTTCTCTACTGCTCTTCTCTATCTTGTCATTGTATTTGTAAGCATAAGTGATCACACTCATTTTAAATTCTTTTCAGCTCCAGTATCTGCCTCTCCCATCGATTTGTTTCCACTGCTCTGTGTTTCCTCTTGGTTGTTGACCAGGTCTTGTCTTCTTTCAGGCCTGGTTGTGGTATGTTATAGGGACAGCTGCATGCCACAGTGCCATCGTCCCCCTCTGGATGGTGTCTGTTCTTGTATCTGCTGAGGGTTAAACTGAGGGCCAATTACTTCAGGGCCATCAGAATTGAGCTGCTCAGAGCTGGGCCAGTCCCTGCAAGGCTCGTGTTCTCCATTGATCTTTGGAAGGTCTCACCTGGTAGCCGAGTATTCTTACCAGAGTAGCTTCAATTGGGTGTTGAATGGTGGATTTCCCATCCCTGTGAGACTCTGGCTTATCTGTCGCAGTGGCAGCTCCTGAATCCCAGTGCTGCTCAGGGAACTGTGGTATCTCCCTGAGCGGTGCATCTCTGGGCTCCTCTCCACGCTATCTCAGCCCCAGGGCATCAAGCACTGGTGGCCTCGTGGTGCTTCCAGACATTTTCTAGATCAACCGTGCAAACGGCAGATGGTCTGGAATGAGTCAAACCCCAGGAGTGGGGTTTCTCTGCTTTGCCCAAGTGAGTTTGTTCCAGAATTCACCACAGATTTATCACCAGATAGCATTTTTGGAGCTGGATTCCATCACAGCCTAACAACCTCCCAAGAATGAAGGGAAGGTTCTAGCAAACGGGGTGAGATTTTCAGCCCTAATGGAAACACCAGGAGGAGCTTGTGGCCCCACAACCAGGACCAGAGAGTGGGTGCAGAGGGATGGGCTGTGACCTTCCCCTGAGCTCAGTCTCAAATGACCAAGGACTCAACACAATGTTCCTAAGCCAAGACGTGTGCATAGAGAAAAATGACGAGACAAGTCTCAATCATTTTAAGAGGTTTGTTTGTCAAAGACCCCAGGAGACAGGTCTATGCCCTTCTCTGAAGATGATTTTGAGGACTCCAAATTTAAAGGGGAAAGGGTGAGATATTGGGAAGTACACGATTTTCATGTAAGAGGCGGGTAGGGAAAAATAGTCATTCGTGCCTTTGGTTCAGTGAATCTGCATTTTTTTCACATAAGATGAGATAGATGAAAATGGGGCAGGAAAGCAATCTGACATGTATTTTTGTCTGACAGGCAGGAGGGTGACGGCACCTGTAAAGATAAGCCATCAGTTTACATTCCATGGAGAAATTTTAACAGAAACACATTAAAAGACCTTGCAGCTCTAGGAATTTTCTTGTGGGCAAAATATGGGGGAGAAGGGTGACTTTTCATCGTGTAGCCATGTTATTTAGGAACCAAAAGGGAGAGGCAGGTCTGCAGGACCCAGTTCCCAGCTTGACTTTTCCCTTTGGCTAAATGAGTTTGGGGTCCCAGAATTTAATTTCCTTTCACAGACTGAAAGATGCCGCCGTGCAGGAAGGGATGATAGATCCCAAGACAGCTCTTACTTCACTGTAAATCCCCACTTCTGAGCATTTTAAATGGCAGTGCTCATCCCAGTGAACAATGAATAAAGCAAAATAGTTTAGACTGCGGTCCCTTTGAACAGTCCTCAAGTTTAGGATTTCCCTCCTCAGTGGCCCCAATTGCTAATCCCATTTTGAAAACCAAATCTCTAATGTTGCTGTGTATGTTGATTTGTTAAGAAATGATACAGGAACAACACAAAACAAAAAGCCCACACGCCAAAACCCAGAACGAAAACAAAACCTCGGGGCGTGTTGACTACAGCTGCTTCGTGTAAGTGTCTTTCAGTGCGGAGGTTTTTGGTTTGCTTTTGTTTTCAGACGAGTCTTGCTCTGATGCCCAGGCTGGAGTGCAGTGGCGTCCTCTCAGTTCACTGCAACCTCTGCCTCCCGGGTTCAAACAATTCTCCTATCTTGAGTAGTTGGGATCACAGGCATGCGCTACCACGCCTGGCTAATTTTTGTATTTTTATTAGAGACGAGTTTTACCATGTTGGCCAGGCTGGTCTCGAACTCCTGACCTCAGGTGATCCACCCACCTTGGCCTCCCAGAGTACTGGGGTTACAGGCATGAGCCACCGCACCCGGCCCTCAGTGTTGAGTTTTAAAGTAATTTTGCCATCTATGTATTTTGAATGTTTAACTCATTCTACAAATAATTACAAACCAAAGACCCGAAGAGGGAAATATTCGCTACACTAAAAAGAATGTTAGGTGACAGACTCACCCGGGTGGAGAGCTGGTCAGCGAATCTCCTTTGGCGATTTCAGCCTGCAGAGGTACCCAACAGACCCACACCAGGAGCTTGATCAAGGCCGTTCGCCAGCCTGGTACATGCGCCTCCTAGTGGGTCTCTAGACAGAAGTTGAATGGGATGACATTGTGTGTCTTTTTTTGTTTTTTGTTTTGAGACAGAGTCTCGCTCTGTCACCCAGGCTGGAGTGCAGTGGCACAATCTTGGCTCACTGCAACCTCCACCTCCCAGGTCCAAGCGATCCTCCTGCCTCAGCCTCCTGAGTAGCTGGGATTACAGACGCGCACCACCATGCCAGCTAATTTTTGTATCTTTAGTACAGATGGGGTTTCACCGTGTTGGCCAGGCTGGTCTCGAACTCCTGACCTCAGGTGATCCACCTGCCTCGGCCTCCCAAAGTGCTGGGGTTACAGGCATGAGCCACTGCGCCCGGCCAACATTGTGTTTTATAGCAGCAATCAGTTCATTCTCAGGGCAAATTTTTAACAGAAAAGTGTGCTTGCACTTTTAGAAAGAAAATCATTTTCAATTCCTGTGTGACCGAGGAAGTGGCGACCGCCTGGCTGCCAGCCGTCCACATACCCTGTGCCACCTGCTCTCACAGGCTCCTTTCTCTCTTTCTTTTTAATTTTTTCTGGCATCTCTGTTCAGCAGAAAAGTAACGATTTATTAATTAAGCACAAAACAAAGTTTCTTTGGTCTAATCTGCTGGCCTAGGAATGGTTATTGGGATGGGGACTCTCAGGTTGGTTTGTGGTTACAGCTCCAAGTAGCATTTGCTTAATTCCTGTCATTGTGGGACAGCAACTACTTAAAGCTTCCCTGCAGCTGCTCAGGGAGGGCTGGACCTGAGGGCCGGGAAAGGTCTCTGCAAAATTCTTCAGTGCTGTGGTCGGTAAGGTGGCGAAAGCCGTCGGTCTGGGAATGTCCGTGCCTTACGCCATGTAGCTGTGTTCACATGGAAGCCATAACGTCAGGTTCCATGTGTGAACGGGGCCCTTTCTCTGAGGCTTACATGGAAGTCGCCCAAGAGAGGCACTGGCATTGGGGTCAGAGCCAGGGTCAGAGCCAGGGTCAGAAGGAGGCCCCTCCCTCACACTCGCACCTGCTCTGTGTGTCTTCAGGGCCCGGCCCCTCCCTCACACCCGCACCTGCCCTGTGTGTCTTCAGGGCCCGGCCCCTCCCTCACACCCGCACCTGCCCTGTGTGTCTTCAGGGCCCGGCCCCTCCCTCACACCCGCACCTGCCCTGTGTGTCTTCAGGGCCTGGCCCCTCCCTCACACCCGCACCTGCCCTGTGTGTCTTCAGGGCCTGGCCCCGCCCTCGCGTGGGCAGTGGGGAGGTCAGTGGTCACTTTGGCACTGAACACACAGTGTGGGGTCTGGGGCTTCTGTGCAGTCGATCATCGAATCCCTCTAGGGGACAACTTCAAAGTACAACTGGAAAGTTTTAAACTTGAAAAAAGTAGCCATCATAGCTACTAGTACTGGGGAGGGGTTTGACTGACGGCCAGTCATTAGATGTGCATGAGGGCTTTGTGCATGAGGACACTACGGCCCACACACGATTATCCCAGAAAGTCGAGATGCTGGGAGGGGGAAGAGGCGTGAGCTTGGCATGATTCCCAAACAAATGCAGGGACGAGCGGGAGGTGAATTGGGAAACCTGGAGAAGGGGCAGCAGCTTCCTTCCCTGAGTCTGACCTCATTGAGTTCAGGTGCGATTCCCATACAAATGCAGGGAGGAGCGGGAGGTGAATCAGGAAACCTGGAGAAGGGGCGGCAGCCCCCATACCTGAGTCCAACCCCATCTGTGAGCTGCCCGTCAACACTTTCCCACAGGAAACAGGCCACAGCGCTGGCGGCATTTCAGATGCTTGGAAACAGAGTGAGTTATTTGGGAGGGGAGGGGAAGGTCTTTCTAGACTGAGAGAGGAATTCTTGTTTTAATTCTTGTTTTAGATCCTCTCCTTCCCTATCCCTGTGGCCTCGCATCACACAGAAGGAGCTGGTATCCCAGGAGCGTTGGCCCAGGGCTTGGGCGTCCAGGGGAGCCCCTGCTTCCATCGCTGGGGTCGCCACACCCAGGAAGAAACGATGACGACGGGGTTGCTGGGAGGGAGACGCCGGGAGCATCATCGGATCTGCCGTCCTCCCTCCAGTGAGAAACAGAACGCAGGGAAAGTGCACTGTTAGCATCGTCCCTAACGCCTGTGTGGGATTTTCCACCGACTTAGCAAACAGGAGCTTCAATTCCGGTGAATGTCTATATGTGAAGGGCCCGTCTTGGTTGTGGCACCGAACTTTGCACAACACACACAGCTGATGGTCTGCGGTTTCACGTTCACCCGAGTGTGTCTTCCAAATAGAAAGAGCTGGACCAATCTTAGCCTTTAGTTGGCAATTTATAATTCCCAGTTTTAGTACCTCTAGGAGTGGAGTTTGATTTTTGGTATTTAAATAACAGTATTTATTTTGCAAGTTAATGATGTCAGTTAAACCTCGTGGATTCGTAGCAGATGAACTTCCAGGCAGAGCTGATTTAGACGAGATTCAGCACAGGGTGTGCTCTGCCCGCAGCCCGGCTGTCTCCCCTGGACAGGAGCCTGGGAGGCCTGGGTGTGAACGTCCCCTCTGGGCTCCGGCGTCTGTGGGGCGGCGGCCTGGCTCCGTCTGCAATCCTGATGTGAACTTCTGGTGCTAGGAGCAGAGGACCTTCCCCTCGGTCAGGTTGGAAGGTTCCGTTTCCCCAGACGTCACTGCCATTTCTTCCGGCAAATGACCTGAGGGGCTGAGCAGAGCCTCTATCGGGAGGGGGTTTGCAGGCTCTTTCTCTGTCTGGAGGCTTTTCCTATGAACAAAATGTGGTGGAAGAGCCTTGCAGGGAGAACCCCTCATGCCCTTCCCACCATTTAACCAGCGTGGATGCCAGAGCAGAGGACAGGCCACACCGAGGGCACAGGAGCTCATGTAGCTGGTCCAGGGGTCATCAGAGATCAGCCGCACAGACACACGGGGGACACATGTGCAGGCCAAGGACAGTGGGCTGCTCCTCACACACCTGCGTGGGGACCAGATGTCCCGGACCTGGGTCCTGGCTCTGTGGTCACTCAGGGCTCCTGGTCAGAGGTCCAGCTGGGCCTTGGCTCTTCCTGCTCCCAGGGCAGCCCCAGCCCAGCCTCACAAAGCAGAGGAGAGGGGAGGCGCAGTGACCAGCAAACTCCATGTCCATCCCGGGCTGGATGGCCAGAGACGTGGGGCCCTGCAGAGAGGCTGGGGTCCCTTGAGCAGCCACAGGGTGTGGTGCCTCTGCAGCTGTAACTTACGTGGGTGGCACAGGGCGCAGTGACTTTGCATCTGTAACTGGCATCCCTGGGCGGCCCAGGGCATGGTGCCCTTGCAGACGTAGCTGGCTTCTCCTCCCTGCTGACCACCACCTGAGGCCCGGCCGTATCTTTGTGGGGCTGTGTTCCCGTGTGTGGCCTGGGTGCTGTGTCCTCATTGGCCTGTGGGGTCTGCACACAGTTCCCAACAGGCCACCCTCTTCAATCTGCCCCATTGGCCAGGCCCGGCAGGACAGTGGCTCTGGGAGGAGCCGGCACCTCTGTCCCTGCTCCTAAAATCCTGGTTGTCTTTTTCATGAGGAGGTCACGTGCTGTAAGCTCTCCCCACACCCGTGCCGGGGTCTTCCCATCTCCATCAGCTGAGCAGACACATCCCAGGGCCTTCAACGCACTTTGTCTCTGCTGAAATGAGCAGCGTTCCTGATACCACAGCTGGTGGCCATGGTGGGGGCTGTACCTGCACCTGCTTCTGGCCTTTGTTGATTTCACCACGCGGACCCCTCCTTCTGGCTTGTTTAGCTCAGGCGGACCCCTGTGTGCCCACTCAGCTCAGGCAGCTCTAGGTAAACAGCTCCGCTGGTGCCTCGGTGTCCCTGGCCATGCTGTTGGCCGGGTCCTCTGACATTGGCCGTATGACTCTGAGTTCTCCCAGCACCTCCTTGGGGGCACAGGGTCGTCTCCACAGCACCACAACTGTGGGCAGCAGGGGTGGCAGCCAAGCCTGCGGGTCTCGGCGGGAGCCTGGGGTGGGGTCTCTGGGCTCCCAGCCTCTTCCGTGGGGCCTGGAAACCCAGACCTGCCCTGGACCCCCGAGGCCTCCTGCACTCTGGGGCCTCTGCACCCCGATGTGCCTCAGCTGAGAAGGGGACTGAGGGTCGGCACCACTGCCCCATCAGTTCTTCGAGGAACATAAAATCTGAACTCAATCTCCTTTAAAAACGCATCCTGTCTTCTCTTCTGAAGCTGCAGCCTGGTTCTGAGGGAGCGGAGACGCCCACCCCTGGATGGCAGCCCCTGAAAACAAAGGAAGGTGAAATTCCTCGCAGCCTCTCAACAGTCCTGACCACAGTGAATGAAGTTACCAGAAACGCTTCACCAATGACACGGCCAGAGACGGCATTTTTAATCCTCCAGCATTTCATGCCCACAGCAAACTAAATGGATATAACCTGGAAACACAAAGAAAGTGAAACTGCAGCCTCAGAATTCACACTTCAGAAAAACCCACCTGATTCCTTTTGCTAATAGGAGCCATTTGCCTACACTACGGAGGCAGCTGGAGAGAGCTTGGGGTGTGGCCGTGGGTAACGGCGCCTTGAAACCCCTCTGCCTGTGCCAGCCCCGACCCGGGCGCGCCCCTGCCCAGCTGCCCAGCTTTCTAAAGAGCCCGTGCCCTCCTCGCGTCTCCGGGAAGGAGTCTGTAATCTCACCTCGGAGGCAAAGGCCTAGGACCTCCTGCCCTGCGAGATGCTGCACCCCGAGTTCGCAGTGAGCCTCCCAAATACGCCAGCATCCCTCATCCTCTGTCCCCACCCTTCTCCTTGTGCCTGTGTTTAACGACGACTGTTTTGGTGGGTTCCAGCAGGAAGCAAAGATAAAAGTGTAGGTGGTGTTGTCTAAGATGTTTAATCCTAAGGCCATGGTTAATATCCTTTCTGAACTTCAACTTTAATTCTAAAGATGTGTCAGTGGGTGAGGCAATAAATATGAACTTTGCACTCCTCACTCTGCACCAAAATCACTTCAATTCTCCTTTCTAGGCACTGCAGCTCTCCCCATGGCCAATGAGTTCACTTTTCAGTCCCCTGCTAGGATTCTCTGATTTTTTAGAGTTCTAACATGAGGCAGGTGAAATAACCTTTGCCAAACCTTTGCTTTATATAGAAACTTAAATTTGTCTTTCAACACTGCTTTTTCCATTGCTACATAAATATTTATCAAGTACTATGATTTTGCATCATTTGCTGTGTGCCTTTTCAGGAAAAATATTTATGAATTGTTAATATGTTGAAAAGACAAAATGTCTGAAAATCAAATTTTATATACATATATCTATATATACGCACACACAGACACACAGATACATATATATATACTTTGAATCAGTGTGAGGTCTAAAAAATATAAAGCATTGATTTTTACTTCAGTGAGGATGATGCTGACTTGAAAACTTGTGTAAGAATTTTACTGTATGTGATTGATAGTACATTTTCTTCATTGTCTTTTTCTTTAACTAAAGATAAGGCTTTTGCTGTTCCGAGGATTCCACACCTGACATAAATATTTGGAGGGAAGTGACCAGTGATTACAAACCCTTAACATCTGGAATTTTGGCTTCCTTTGTTTTGAACTGAGAATAACAGCATTGAATTTTTATGTAAAAGAGTCTTTTTCTCACTGTGAGCCTCAGTATTAATCGCGCTGATACCTGTCACTGAATGGCTGTTGCTCTCAGATCACCTTCCCCAGCTGTTTCCGTTTCATGAAGGTAGAAAATTAGTATAGCTTATTTTTATGGAACATCAATTTTACTGGAAGACTGTGGGGGAAACTGTCATATATTCTGTCAACATGTCATAAATGTGAGCAAGAAAAAAAACAGCCTTTTAGGTTTTCATTGAAGCCCATATTATCTTTTCTGGCCAAACCCAGAAGGGTAGATGCTGTATCTGTGCCGTGCGTGTTATGAGTCTGTGCTTTGGAATGTGGACGTTCTGTGGTGAGAAACCCAGTGACCGGGAGCCGCTCCACGGCGAGACCAGCAGCAACCTCAGAGAGGAGACGGGCGACAGCGCCTTGGCCTGGGCCTCGGGCCAGCAAGCCAGAAGGCCCCACTTCATGGTGAATTTCCACCACAAAGAAGCATGTCAAGCTGTATTTCGGGAGCTCAACGATGCAGCCCACAAGGTATGACTGAGTACATTGAACCACACGTGTTTCAAATGTATGAGCTGGTAAATTCTGACGTGTGTGCACACCATGAAACCGTCACCCATCAGGATGGAGAATGCATCCACCACCAGAAAGCTCCCTGTCTTTCTTGTTCATTTTCGCCCATATTCCATCTCCCCCGAGCCTCCCTGCCTCTTCAGTTATAATCTGATAAACTATATAGTTTCAGTTATAATCTGATAAAGTTTATAATCTATAAACTATCCCTATAAATTAGTTTGCAATTTCTAGAATCTGTGTAAATGGGATTATATGTAAGATTATCCACTCTTGTTTCTTGGCTTCTTCAGTGAGTAAAACCATTTTGAGATTGACACCTGTTCTTTTTTTTTTTTTTTTTTTTTTGAGACGGAGTCTCACGCTGTTGCCCAGGCTGGAGTGCAGTGGCGCGATCTCGGCTCACTGCAAGCTCCGCCTCCCGGGTTCCCGCCATTCTCCTGCCTCAGCCTCCTGAGTAGCTGGGACTACAGGCGCCCGCCACCGCGCCCGGCTAATTTTTTGTATTTTTAGTAGAGACGGGGTTTCACTGTGGTCTCGATCTCCTGACCTTGTGATCCGCCCGCCTCGGCCTCCCAAAGTGCTGGGATTACAGGCTTGCGCCACCGCGCCCGGCGACACCTGTTCTTATATGTAACAATACTTCATTCTGTTATTACCAACCAATACTCCATGGCATGGATATACCACAATTTATATTTATAAATATAGCTGCTAGGAACATTCATGTAACACGTTTTTCAAAGTACCTAAGATTAATTTTCCTATGAGTAAATATCTAAGAGTCAAATGATTGGGTCATATAATACCTGTATGTCTAACTTTATAAAAGACTATCAGACTATTTTCTAAAGTAATCATACAGTTTTACACTCCTACTGGCAATGGGTGAGAATTCCATGTCTTCACATCCTCTCCATGGCGTGATCAGTCATTTTAATGTTAGGGTAGTGATGTCTCATTCAGTTTTAGCTTTCTTTTCCCTAAGAAGTAATGAGAATCTTCTCTTGTGTTCATTTGTCATCTGCACGTCTCCCTTGGTGAAGCATCGTTTGAATCTTTTCCTACTTTTTATTGGATCATTTTCTTCCCTAATACTGAATTTTGAAAGTTCTGTGTAGGTGCTGGATACAATTTTTTCTTTCATATGGATGCTCTGAGAGTATTTATGACAGTCAGAAAGGCTGGCCTTTTTATCATCTTAACAGTGTCTTTCAAAGAGCAGGATTTTAATTTTAATGAAGTCTAACTGTGACGTTGCTGTCTTATCTAAAGAACTTTTGGCAGTTCTGAGGTCCCCAAAATTGTGTACATTTTTTTTCCATCAGTGTAATAATGTGAAGTTGTGGTTTTCTGCTGATCTGTGCATTTCACACACAGGGCACATCAATATTCGTTCACTCATGTGCGCGTCCAGTTGTTCCAGCTCCTTGTTGATAGGCTCTTCCCTCTCCACTGAATTGTCTTTGAACTGTGGCCAACAGCATCTATTACTGCTGTTCATTCTAAAAAATTTTTTCTCCTCTATGTTTCTTTGTGGGTGATTTCTATTGTAAACATTCAATTTCATTAATCACCTTTTCTGAATGTTCAATCTGCCATCCCGTATATTAATATTTTCCACCTCAGTCATTTTAGTTTAAATCTCTAGAAGTTTGATTTGGGTCTTTAAAAAAATATCTTTCATGTCTTCACTTACCATTTCAAACATATGATATAGTGTTACAATAATACATTATAGTGTCTTTGTCTGCTAATTCTAATATTTGTTTTAGTTCTCGGCCAATTTCAATTTATTTTGCTTTTTATTGCAGGTTTCATTGTCCTGCTTCTTTGCATTTCTGGTAATTTTTCACTGAATATTAGACATTGTGAATTTTTGCAGGCTGGATATTTTTACACTCCTAAAAAAAAGCCATTGAGCTATGTTCTGGGCCATGATTTAGCTATTTGTTGTCCGGAGCTGCGCGCCCCGGCCATAGCGAATGATAGCTGACGATTGGGAACGCCTGACCTCTATTCATTTCCACCCCACGCCTTCTCCCTATCTTTGCCTTTTCTCCCTGTATTAATACCTCATAAAAGATGGCGCTCTTCCTGCTTCTTCTTCACCTATTTTTCCCGCGCCCGCGAAAATTACTACCTGACAGCGCAGGTGCAACATGACGTTCGACCAGAGAAACCAATACCTACTTGGTCACGCCCTTTGCGATGAGATCATCTCCGCCTCTGGCCCAACCCCTTTCCCTCCAAGTGTATATAAGGCACTGCATTACCGCCATTAAAAGAGAGAGACTTGATCAGAGCACTGTCTTGTTTCCATTTCTCGTATCTCTTGTTCCCCAAATTCCCACCCCCTCCTCCAGGGCCTGCTTCGACTATCCCGCGGGCCGGGATAATTTGTAAACAATTTAATCTTTGCAGGGATTTTGGTCAGGATGTTAGATGGTACCGAAGGGATTTTGGTCAGGATGTTAGATGGTATCGAAGCAGTGTTGAATCCAACCTGAATTCCTCCCACCATGGAGGCAAGGCTTTCCTGGGTGCTCTGCTTAGTGCCCTATGAAGTAAGGGCTTTTCAGTCTGGCTGGTGGGAGTGGGCACTGCCTTCTCAGCCCTGCATGGGTCCGGGCACTGTTCCCTCCTGTCATTTCGAGTGGTTCTCTCTCCCAGGCCTCAGGTAATCTCCCCTCAGGAGGCAGTGACCGCTCAGAACTCTGTTGAGTACTCAAGGAGGACCCTCCACAGAAGTCCTGGGCTCTCCCTCCTTTCTGGTTCCCTGTTCTTTGAACTCTGCCTGCCTTTGGGTCCTAGAGCTACCAGCTTCTTCTTCTTACCACCAGGTCCACTCACTCTGACGCAGCCTGAAACCCCCCCCAGGTGGTGAACCAGGGCAGCCTTGGGGCCAATCTCACTTGTTTCTCGTCCTTCAGTGCCTAATCCCCAGACTCTCGAAAACTGTCGCTATTTTTCTGAACAAATATTTCACTTGTTCTTCTGGTTTCTTTTGCTGTTGTTATTTCAGACAAGAGAGTGAATCTGCTCCCTATTTTTCCATCTTGGCCAGAATTGGAAATGCCTATGTAGCTATTTTTTTTTAAACTTAACATGTCGTAAGATTCAGTTCTTTAAACTTTTTAATTTATATATAAAATATTATTCCCATAAATAATTTTAAATTCCTTTTGCTTTTTGCATATCATAAAATGTTTAACTTATAATCCAAAGCTGTATTTAATTCCCCTGCTTATTATAGTGAATTCTTAATACCAAAAATGCACCAGTAACTTAGTTTTCCATAATATTAATGGGGTTATGTTTTATTAAATTTCTTATGCTTTGTGCATATTGAAACAATTTTTTTGAGCTGGATACAGAAGTGCTTGAAACCTAATTTTAACAATAAATATACGCAAAATAATGAGGAGAATTCAGAATATTCTGAAGTCATTGGAGGTGGCACCACAGGAGAGCGAGGGTTGCTCCTGAGCCCCACACGAGAGGCTGTGGCTGAGCAGGAGGTGAGGACATCTGGAAGGTGGTCCCCGCCAGCATCTCCAGGGCTCCCCACGCATCCTGGCAATGTGTGCGTCGTGGGTGTTTGATAAGCGTGAGGATGCCTGGAAGGTGATCCCCACTAGCGTGTGCAGTGCTTCCCATGTGTCCTGGTGATGGGCATGTCGTGGGTGTTTAATAGGCATGAGGACGTCTGGAAGGTGATCCCGCCAGTGTCTCCAGCACTCCCACTTGTCCTGGCGATGGGCATGTGGTGGGTGTTTAACGGGCGTGAGGACGTCTGGAAGGTGATCCCGCCAGCATCTCCAGCGCTCCCACTTGTCCTGGCGATGGGTGTGTAGTGGGTGTTTGATGAGCACCAGGCACATCTCTGCAGGGCTTTTGGTCACCTGCTCATCAGGTAGGGGCCGGAGGGTGCAGCCCCTGCAGCCGCTGACTGGAGAACACAGAGACTCAGCGACCTCACCTCTGAATTCTTCTTCTTTGTCCCATAGATTGGAGAAAGAGCCAAGTAAATCAAACCATGGTTTTAAAAGTCTCTTTCAGAAAATCTCTCATGAAATAAAAATGCCTTTGAAGGCTTCCTTCGCTACAGTCATATACATTAACAAGGGAACGGCTCTGATCAGGAATGTTTATCACATCTCACAGGTGAAGCAGGGAGAGAGAGAGACAGAGAGAAAGGAGAGCAGGGAGGGAAGGAGGGAGGAAGGGAGGAGACCTTTAGAACAGAGAACTCAAGCCAGGTATCAGGAATGAGTTCCTTCTTCAGCACTGTTGAGACACAGGACACGCAACGCTGAGTTGTGTAGAGATTTTTTTTTCTTTTTTGACAAGGCCTAATAGTCATTAACAAGGCAAAACTCTAAACAGTCTTACTGGATATATGAACCTTCTTGAAAGAAAATAAAGTCTGAAGTGTGGATATGACTTGTTCAATGAGGCTGTGCATCATTAGACACTCCTCACTTATTTATATATAATAGTAATTAAAATGTTAGTGATAGAATAAAGATTATCTGCCATCTTAATTGAAAAGTCCATCGTGTAGAACTCCCTTATAATGATGACCGAGCTGGGGTTTGATCACATGGAAACTGCCAAGTGCCCTAGGACTAATCATCACGGCTCTTTGATCAAATTGTGTGGATTTCATCAAAGCTACTTATTTTTAGTGTAACCTAGAAAGTCCTATAAAAGCCTTCAGCCTTTTATCCACATATCTATGGACCGTGGCCTTTGAAAATATCAGGAAATGCACAGAGTGGAAAGCATTCCGAGTGCAAAGCTGCCATGATTTGACACTTTCCTAAACTCAGTGTGATGTTCTGAAACTAAAGACCTAAAAAGGCCTCTTTCCATATACGAAGAAAACGGACAGGGTGTTTCATTTCATTTTGCCAGCTACTCTGTTGAAACGTTATTTTAATGTTAAAATGCAGATATAATATTGAGATGGGCTTTTGTTGAGCACTAGCTGTACTTTTAAATCGTCAGTGACAGGAATTCACATTTCTACGGCACTAGGGGAACCTCAGAGAGCAGGTTTGAGAAATATAAACGTCATATGCAAGAAAACGGGCCGTGGCACTCAAGCTTCACCGGGAACATAATTGCGAACGGGTTTCCCTCCCATGATTCTAATGTGTTCTGTTTCCATTCACATATATTAGCAAAAAAAAAAAAAAAAAGAGAAATGCTTAAAGTGGCTTCGTTTTTGTATTATTTGGCAAAAACCTGCTCATTTTATGTTGGCATCAACTATGTTCCCACATAATACACCCGCGTTATTCTGTGCACG